ACACAAATAAAATTTTTATTTTTTTCTTTTTCCTTTATTTTGCTTTTCCTTTCTCATTCTTTTCTTTTTTTCCTAAATTCGAAAACGTAATATAAAAGTTCAAAATTGTGTTAATCTTCCCAAATTCGAAAATATAATATAAAATTTTAAAATGGTGTTAAAAAACATTAACATGAGGTGACATGAAAAACCAACATATTCACATTGATTTACATAATGTCACTCGAAAATCAGAAAACTCAACTTTGTGTGTCATTCTATGTACCAGAAATATATCATAAGATGTTTTTGATGATAAAACAAATTGACGATGCTAAATAAAAATGTTCTAGTAGATAATATTAATTTAAGAATGAATATTGATTGATTTTGCATCTAGGAATACTCGGAAAAACTGTTTTATATGAATTCAATATTACTTCTGATGATAAATATAATATATTAAAAAATATCATTACTTATTGAGAACCCCTTTTCCCATATCGTTGAAAGCCTAAAAAATATCAAGAACTTAAAACGAGTCCAACTCAATGCCACCTCTATTGTAGTCCATTTTATTTAGAGCAGAAAGAACTTAAATAAACCCACTTAAAAGTATGTATTGTTATAAATAGAAAATTTTATATATTGGCATATAGTTATAACTATTTTTATGCATCTTGTTTAGAATATAATTTTTAAAATAATGTGAATCAGATTACTTTTAATACCTATGAAATTTATTCAGACGTTTGAGTATTAAGAACATTTGTTTTATTTTAAAAATAAGAGTTTGAAAACTCTAAATGTCCTCTGAAAATTTAAGTGGTAAATATGTCTCTTAATACCTTTTAATCATAATTCGTGCTCTATCACATGAGTCATATTTTGGGGGCTGAAAAAGATTTGTTAGTAAAAACTATTCATTTTTTATACTTTTGTAAAAACATATATTATCTTTTATATTTTTACACTAGTTTGACTGATTCAGATTTTAGACTTCAGACGTAAAAACAAACAATCTTACTGATCCAGATTTCAGACTTCATGACCTCCTTTTAGAAATCAGACTTCAATACCTCTTAAAAAACAGACACCACCTAAGTGTTTGTGTTTTTATAATAACCGTTGACGTTCAAATATAGAATTTTTTTTATTAAACTCTTACCAAAAGGGTAAAATGTAATAAAATAAAACAAAATCTGATTTAATTGTTATTTGACGTCATGAATAATTAATATTTTTTATCAATTAATATAACAACGTTCTAAAAGTTTCTATTTTATACTAACTAGTGTTTGACACCATGCGTTGCATGGTGACAATAATCTTTTTTAAAATTACTGAAGTTAGTTAAATGATGGTGACAATAATCTTTTTTAAAATTACTGAAGTTAGCTAAATGAATCGATAATTATATTTATATATCAAATTAATAAGAATCAATATTACCTTTGATATATGAATCCACCTTATCATTATTGGTTGTTCTTTTAATATATATATATATATATAGAGAGAGAGAAACGATCAAATGAAAACCACTCCAATTTGTAAAAACCTTAAAAACTACTCTCATTCATCGATTTCATTGTTTAATCTTATGAAATTTTTTCATGAAATTGTTTCATATAATACTTTTTTTTATGAAGTTGTTTCATATATGGTTATGAAATTGTTTTATATATTACTTAATGAAATTTTAATGAAACTGTTTCATGTATTTCTCTAAAATTAAAATAATGAAGATGATAATATCCATGATTAACAACCTCCATAATAAAAATGATTAATCAACCTCTCATAATTACAAAAAAAATGAACAAAATGAAAAATTATGATTGGTGGAATAAGGTTTTTACGGTTTTTACAAATTGAGTGGTTTTTATTTGATCGCTCCCCATATATATATATATATATATATATAAAATTATTTAGTAATAAGTCTTATATATCAATCTTTTATTATATCAAACTTTGTAATTGGTTCAAAATCATAAAAAAATATGTGAAAATATTGATTATAATCATATGATGTGTATTATGAGAATTGTTTTGTCATGATGCATATATTCTCTTAAAATATTTTTATTCACCAAATAAATATTGTGTTGTTACCTACTTTGATATAATTGTTGAATATTTTTGCAATTTGCTTACATTAGTGATAATATATTCATTTGCAACATCGACAAAAAAACTTCTTGAAACCCTATTTTTCTACATGCGATTGCACAAAGTAGAACAATAATAGCTAGTATTGTGACCATTCTGGATACATAGGAGTCTGATTGACTTGTTATTTTTTTCATTAATAGGAGTCTGATTGACTTGTTATTTTTTCATTAAGAGAAGTCTG